CAGAGCCACAAATGCGCCCCCCCCCCCCGTTCGAACAGTTCGAACGGACGGTTGACCCTGGTTCCGGCTCTATACAAGTGGGGTGGGCACGCCCAGCTTTTCACGCATGTCAAGTGACTGCCCTCACCCCCACCCCCTAGATTGGCTACACTCCCCCTGGCTCACGAATTCCCCGATTCTCGCGGGCAGCAGTCCCACTTACATACATTTCTGTTCAAAAAATGCGGCGTGCCCACCCTACTTGTATAGCACCCGCGTTCCTTTTAAGGCAGTTCTAGTTAGGAAAGAGAAACAAAATTCGAAGAAGTTCCCTTCCCCAAACCCTACCGGGAGGCTAAGCATAGGGCCCAACGTGCCCCAAGTGCGTGGTGGCGTGGTCCCGCCGCGATATCTGCAAACGCATTCTTATCGATCGGCATTCGCGTTGCCCGTTCCTCATCCTTCAGCGGTCCATAACGGTCACTCGTCGGTTTTCTCGTGTTGGTCCTTTCTTTTCTGGTTACTTCTCTCCATATTTACATTTATATCGTTTCTCACTATAGCATTTACAAAGCTGAACCTCTACAAAAAAGTGATATGTGACCAATCCACTCAAAACTTCAGAAGATTTAAAAATTCTCAAAGCTTGCATCAACTTGCAATGATCGTGCATCAACTTTAGGTGCTCCACTGTTTTGTAAGGGGCTCAAATCGTAATGTGAGCTTGGAACAGTGCAATTCTGAGGTTTTTGAAAGCTGCAAATTTCAGGTAGTTGTCTTCAAAAGCACAAAAGATGGGTTCTGCTGGTATGGCACTCGGTCCTGATGGAAAGGTGCTTTTTGTCTTAACGTTTTCGATTTTCTCACAACTGCTTCAGCATCAGCGATATTTTGCAAAACCTCTCAAGGATTATGAATATACGTGCATGTCTTCGGCAATAAGAAGTCTTCACAGCACTTTCTTACGTGAACTGCCATAGGCAGTTACAGAAGTTACAGGGGCTGGTGTTGTCGGGTGGGGCGTCATAATGCAGAGAGCTCATATAGCCAGTAGCCATCCTTATCCGGTGCCTGGTGAGTGTGGGAGGAGACCACGCGGCGGCGCGACGTCTGCCAAGCGATGGCACTGAGCCAAGGAAGGAGTGGGTAAGCTGGGGAAAATGTGATTGGTGATTCCGCAGAGTCCAACTTTCGGCACTTTTGAGCCTCCTTTATGGGCTCAGACTTATCGCCATCGCTTGATAGATGCTGCGCTGCCACGTGCTGCCCCTCCCCAACTTACCCAGCAGCCCTCATCCTACCCCCTTGCCCAAGCTTTCCGGGAGACTAGGACAGGGGGTGTTTACGAATTCCGAATTCCTCCAAAGTTCCTCCCC